GTTTAGAGCTCCCTGTCCCAGCTAAAACAGTAAACGTTTGTAATCCATACTAAAGTTTTGTATTAGTGATTTATTTTACTTTACAATTGGAGCTCCTTTATTATAAATAAAGTTTAAACACTGGAGCTCAAAACTTGACGTAATTGGTTGAACCAACGGGGTTAGAGATGCAGAAATGATTTAAAGATGTTATGCTGATGAAGACTGACACCTAGTGGTCAACTGGAGCAACTACATGGAAAACTTTAAAATCCAAGCTCTTATTTTGAAGGGAAGATAGTTTCCTGTACTCTGTGCTTTCGTTTCCCGTCACAAATCAAATCTGTCATGTACCCAGAATGCATCACTTCAGTTTTCCAATAAACATTTTTAAAATTACTTTATTGATGCTTCTTCAATGAAAAATCTACAACAAACAAAAGAAAAAGACAAAGAAGCAGTCGAACTAGCAATCCTCAACAACTTTTTAATTTTTACACCAGGAGCTAAAGGTCTGTTTCAGGAAATCACATCCCCAGCAATCAGTGGTTGTAAAAGAGTTCAGACACCACTAGTTGGCAGTGTTGTTCATATATTATACATGAGTTATCAGCTAGTAAATTTCAAGTTAAACTTGTGCTTAAAATTAGCTTCTGCTAGTTTTTCTATGACATGAGTGTTTTAGAAACTGCAGAGCTAATTTTTGGAATAGCACTGCTCACCACTGGTCATTGTCAAGAGGTTTAACCCTGGACAGGCTTTTAATACTTTTATTATCATGTGAGGTCTTAAACAAAGAACATTTCTGAAACGTTTTATGTTTCAAACAGTTTGAAACTTCATCTTGCTTCAGGAGCAGAGAGTAAAGGTCAGAAGTTCACCATGATGATGATGACCATGCATCCGGTGATGGTTCTGTTGAAGCGTTTCTTCTCAGGAAAGTAAGGTTCCTCAATCCCGGTGACCGGGTTCTTCATGGTCATCGGTGCCATGGCCGTGAACTCAGGACGAGGACGCTCCTGTTGAAGTCACAAGACAAAACCTCCTCAAAATCTGACAGCAGGAGTTTATTTTTAAATTTAGGCAGATCAGAGAGTCTCACCTCAATGTCCTGAAAGTCAGAGCAGTCCCAGCGATGAGACAGAGCCGAACATGTCCTCTTCCAGTACTCCAGGAAGGTGACAGCCCACAGAGACATGAAGATACTGAGGAACACTGTTCCTCCGTTGTCAAACAGAAGTCCTGCCTACAGACACACAACTTCTTCACTGCCAGAGTTTACTGTATATCATACTGCTGAGATATAAAAACTGTGAAAATTAACTGATGACTCATCAAAAACTCTACATGTAGGTTTTAAAGACTGTTTTAAAGAACCAATGGCCTGAGAACAGCTGCAACATCTGGACCTACACTGAAACATCTGGGCCTACACTGAAACATCTGGGCCTACACTGAAACATCTGGGCCTACACTGAAACATCTGGGCCTACAATGAAACATCTGGACCTACACCGCAACATCTGGACCTACACCGCAACAGCTGGGCCTACACTGAAACATCTGGGCCTACACCGCAACATCTGGGCCTACACTGAAACATCTGGGCCTACACCGCAACATCTGGGCCTACACTGAAACATCTGGGCCTACACAAGAACATCTGGGCCTACACAAGAACATCTGGGCCTACACTGAAACATCTGGGCCTACACTGAAACATCTGGGCCTACACTGAAACATCTGGGCCTACACTGCAACATCTGGGCCTACACTGCAACATCTGGACCTACACCGCAACATCTGGACCTACACCGCAACATCTGGACCTACACCGCAACATCTGGGCCTACACAGAAACATCTGGGCCTACACAGAAACATCTGGGCCTACACAGAAACATCTGGGCCTACACAGAAACATCTGGGCCTACACCGAAACATCTGGGCCTACACCGAAACATCTGGGCCTAACCGGAACATCTGGTCCTACACCGAAACATCTGGTCCTACACCGGAACATCTGGTCCTACACCGCAACATCTGGTCCTACACCGCAACATCTGGTCCTACACCGCAACATCTGGTCCTACACCGCAACATCTGGGCCTACACCGCAACATCTGGGCCTACACCGCAACATCTGGTCCTACACCGGAACATCTGGGCCTACACCGGAACATCTGGACCTACAATGGAACATCTGGGCCTACACTGGAACATCTGGGCCTACACCGGAACATCTGGACCTACAATGGAACATCTGGACCTACAATGGAACATCTGGGCCTACACTGGAACATCTGGGCCTACAGCGGAACATCTGGGCCTACACCGCAATATCTGGGCCTACACCGCAACATCTGGGCCTACACCGCAACATCTGGTCCTACACCGCAACATCTGGTCCTACACCGCAACATCTGGGCCTACACCGGAACATCTGGACCTACAATGGAACATCTGGGCCTACACTGGAACATCTGGGCCTACACCGGAACATCTGGGCCTACACCGCAATATCTGGGCCTACACCGGAACATCTGGGCCT